TTCAGATTGGTTTCTGTTTTCCCATCAGTGTACAGGTGTCAATGAGTCCGTTTCTCAAAGTCATCCACCAAATCCCCCACAGGAGCTTGTAGGCCCCTGATTTTGCTTATGACGTCTTCTTGAACTTTCAACTATGAACATTAATGAAGACTATCATTTAATAGTGCCTATATTGTGCCAGAAATTGTGCTTAGTGTTGAGATATACAAAGTTGTCTAGAAGTTCCTTTTCTCAAAGAGATCATAGCTGAAAATGAAGAACATGTAAAAAAATTAAAACATACCTTAATTATTAAGAAGACAGTATAAGATATAACAATAGTTCATAGAGAGAAGCTATTTACTCTGCTTAGGACTTTTAATGAGTACATCAGAGTATGTGACATTTGATCTATGTCTCGAAGGATAAAGGGAAAAGGGAAGTAACATTTGTGTCAAATGGCTATATCTGTATCATCTCAAATCTTCATAACATCAGGAGTATAACGTTATACTTCTTTCATTTTATGGACAAATAAATACTACCAGCATGATTTAAATAGGTAAACTGACCTAGTTTACATAGCTCATAAGAAGCAGAGCTGGGATGGCAACCAATGTCTACCAGGCCTTAAAACCAAAGATGGTTCCATATTATAATGACCAGGAATAACACAGATGAAAGCATACACAAAGGCTGAGAAATATGAAAAAATATAGAGAAGTGCTCTGTTCATAAGGATCTTATGTTATATGCTATTGTATTTTAAATATCCTTAAAGAGAGAAGCAAAAGCTTGCATGGGGGAGTGATGTGATCATATCTGACCTTTGGATAGACAGATTTGAAAGCAGAGTATAGAAAGAGCTAAATTTAGTTGACATTGGAGGCAGAGAGATCATTCATAAGGCTTTTCAGTCTTTAAGACGAAAAAACTATATAGACCTGAAATAAGAACTGTCAGTGGCAATGAAGAGGAGGAAACAAAACTGAAAAATACTCAAGAGATATAATTTTCCATCTGGGATGAAATGTGAAGGAGGAGACAAAGGTGCCACATAGGTCCTGGATTGGGCCTCTGAGAGAATAGTCATGATATTTCTTAAAGTATTTAAAAGGTGATAAAATCATGAATTCAGCCTTGAACACTTTAACTTTGAGGAGTTTGAGCAATTTCCATTTATATATTACAGTATAGTTTTGAATATACTATATAGTGAAAAGTTGAGGTGAAGAAAAAGGTTGATTGATGAGTTCAGATTCTAGAGAATACTTGGAGGTGCTGGCCTTGAAGAGCATAGAGCAGTGATTAGGATCATGCATTCTGAAGTCCTACATCTCTGAATACAAGTCTTGGCTTTGCCGTGTGATTATTATAATTGATTACTAATTATTATAGTTATATTTACTAATCTTTACTCTCTGATATATAATACTTTATTTTATTTTTAGTTTGTTATTAATCTAATCAATGTTATATATCTGAAACTAATATAATATAAAATTTTTTTTTAAGTGGTCATGGACCAAAGATTATATCATGTCATGACCCAAGTATTATAAATATTATATCCTGAGCACCTGAGTTCCATTTAAATTTTCAAAGCTCTAAGTAGGGAGTGATATGATATATTCAAGTACTTTTGTCCTAGTGATCTCTATAAGCCCAGTGAAGCAAGAAAATATTAATGGGCTAACAGGTAAGAGAATATCAAATTTGTGACAGAAGAGATGACATTAATTTAGTATGAGAACACTTAGGACAATGGTTAGGAAAATGATACAGAAATCTTTAAGAAAATTAAAGAAGAGATGAAAATTAAAGTAACCCTCTTTAGGCTCTATCTGAAAAATTTAGTCAAATTTTTTTTCCTCAGTCCCTTTATACAAAAAATTTGTTGCTACTCTTATTACTTCCAAATTTTCTATTTTTCTCCTCTTAATCAATTATATGTAACTTAATTATCAAGGTAAACAAGGAACTGATGTTTATGCCAGTAATACTATTCTTTTTCATTTTTTATCCTCAGGTCACTTGAAAATCAACTCTTCTGTCCCAGTCAATGGATAGACTAAATGACTCCGTGGCCACTGAATTTCTATTATTGGCCCTTTCTTGTTCTCAGAAGAAAAAGCTTTTTCTCATCTTGATATGTTCTTTTCTCTATATAGGGGTCATCTTCGGAAACCTTTTTATTTTATTTTTAGTAATTTTTGATTCTCACTTCCATTCTCTTATGTACTTCTTGCTGGCCAACCTGTCCCTCATTGACATGGGCCTTTCCTCTACAACAGTCCCCAAGATAATTACAGATCTTATAAATGAATACCAACTAATTTCTTTCCAAAGTTGCATGATACAGTTATGCTTCATTCATATCATAGAAGGAGTGGAGATGGTGTTACTCATAGCCATGGCATTTGACAGATGCATAGCAATCTATAAGCCTCTTCACTACTTGAAAATTATGAACCCTAAAATATTTGTTTTATTCGTAATCACTGACTGGGTAACTGGGTTAATCCATGCTATGTCTCAGTTTTTATTTGTTAAAAATTTGCCTTTCTGTGGGCCTAATAAAGTTGGCAGCTTTTATTGTGACTTTCCTAAGATTATAAAACTTGCATGCACAAATGGAGACAAGCCTGAGTTTATTGTCACTGCCAACAGTGGCTTCATGACTATGGCCACCTTCTTCTTACTAATCTTTTCATTTTTATTCATTTTGGTTACTGTCTGGAAATATTCTTCAGGAGACTTGTCCAAGGCATTTGTCACTTTGTCATCTCATATTACTGTGTTTTCTTGTTTTTTACTCCATACGTGATTTCTGGCCTTCTCCTCCACCATCACTTGATAAAAACTTGTTTGTCATTGACTTTGCTATCACCCCTTTCTTGAATCCTGCTATCTACACATTAAGGAGCGAAGACATAAAGGTAACAATAAAAAGATTGCACAAAAAAAATCTTATTCTAAATTTTGTTGACCATATCATCTTTGGACCTTTAACCACGCTAGCCCATCTCCACTTAGGCACTTCAAATTCAGCATATCCAGAACAAATCCATCATCTGCCATCCTAAACTTGTTACTACTTCATCTGTGCTGTATAAGACCATTATCGTTACCATCATGGGAAATGGAAATTCAACATACTAAGAATTGATATTCTTAACAGAGAACAGGACGCTCTGACAAAGAACATTTTAATTTTGAAATTTTGGTTATTTTGCAAATAAAACAATCTAACAAACACCATTTCTGCTATTCATGAATTCTAAAAATAACCTATAAATGTGTTGTTATGAATGTCAAGAATCATCATATTGAATTGTTATATATGCAGTTCCAATAGCTTTACTTATTATTTAAAAAACACTGTAAAGCAAAAATATAAATATGAATAGTTTATTTGGAAGGGACTCCTAGAAGACACTGGCTCAGAAGTAGGGACATGAGAAAAGAAAGAGAAGGATGTCAATAGAGTGTATTGATTGGTAACCTACTACTGTGGACAACTGGAATGCAATCTTGTCATGGCTCTCTAACAGAATGTATAGATTCTATGACATAATTATCCCATTCATGAGGAAAAGAAGCTGTGTATTTTTGTGTTGGTGTAGCTCTGAGACACTAACTCCATGGCAGTTCCAGGTTTCTGCACTTAGTTGGTTGAGCACTTTTGCTATCCAGAGAAAAGTCCTCAGGCAGAAAGTCTGTGGAGCTTATGGTATAAAACAATCTATATTCTTGGAAATAATAAGTGCAAAAGGATAAGTATAAATACCAGAGCATCAGATACATTCCTCATCTTCCCATGCTAGAGGCACTTATGCTTCTTATAAATTTACTCCATCATTGATTCTTCAGATACAGAAGTGTTAATGGAACAAGTGTTTATGGGTCCTATTATTGCATATGTTCCCAAGATATTTATCATCTTCAGCCTCCACAACCCACTCTAGATTTCATTCATATTAATCCAGCACTTCTGTTGATCTAGATCACTTACCCTGAACCATATCTTCCTACTTGAGCAGCCTGAGTCCATAATTACCATGCTCCTGACAGGCTGTAATTGCTACACTTCCCCATTTACAGTTATCATCCGTCATGGTTGATTCAAGTATAGCAGCAATTCTATTTCTTCACGAAGGTTAATTATTCCAGGCATGATATTAACTTTTTTCTTTGTCTGCTGATCTACAAACACAAGGGAATCAAAATGACCTGGAAGTTGCTAAAACTTGATATTTATTGTAATACTTATTCTGTTTCCAAAAGAAGCATTCTCCCCAACCCAGCAGAGGTCTAAGTCATAGGTCTACAAAGCTCCAATTCTCCAAGGAAATGAAGGTAAATAGAGCCATTTTCACCATCTGCCTCTGGTTTTCAGATATGCATTCTAGGGACCAATATCGTTTAATGTCTATTGGTTCAAAGTATAAGTCACATATGAAAGCACAAAATGTCATCCCCAAACTAGAACTTAGTTGCACCCTTACTTGCACCTTTAAAGAGCTATTCCCATGTTCTATCAGATTGACAGTTTCTGTTTGCTACCGTATACTGCAGCACCAGTGGACCACTTGCTTATGTACCCATTGTTGCAATTTCTTTGCTATAAAGATATTCCTTTGTCCTAAGCAATGTTATGAAGAATGTTAGGCATGCTATATATCTCCAGATCATTTAATGGCTAAGGTACTGCTGTAAGGATAGTCATAGCCATACTTGGAACACATGTTTATCTTCAATAAGAACAATATGCTGTTCTTCAGTGTGGACGGGATCCTTTGTAAACTTGCCAACAAGTTGCTGATTGAATGCCTCAACAAATTAAACCCCATCAAGGTTTGGGCACCCACGTATGCCTCTGAAAGTTCAAACATTTAACAGTGGCTATAGCTAGAACGTCCTTAACAAGAAGAGACCTTGTTGAAAGAACCCTTAGAATGACCTCATCTTTACCATTCAAAATATTTCATCCATGGACCCACTGTACAAGAAAGAACCCCTAGAAATACTTCATCCTTGCCATTTGCAACTACTTCATTCATGGGCCCATTGTGCAAGCACCGGAGTGGCTGAGACAGGTAATTAACTCTGCTTTTTAACATGATTCTTGAACTATTATAAGATAAGAAACATAAAAAGTACACATGTGTTTCTTCCTGCTTTCTTCTGGCTAAAAGAGCAATTATATCACATTTCAATATGACCTATGTGTAATTTATCACTATCAGTTTTAAGTGACAATCCCACAGTTGCGTAAAAATTACAAAACTGACCCACACTTGTGAGAAAAAATATCATGGATTAGAGTTATTTGGTAGTTCCCAGAAAAGTGCTAGATTGATTGTTATTTTTCCTTTCTTTAAACACATAAAATAAATGTTAACCCATATGGTTTGGAATGGAGAAAACAAATGAAATATAAGCTCCAGAAGTCTGTATTGTTGAATGTACACTCATCATAATAAAGACACAATGATTAGAATAGTAAAGAGATCTAAGTTTTATCATACAATAAAAGTGGATTCTCAAAACAAAGGTGAATAAATCCATATAATTATAAATAATTAAGCATTTAAACAAACAAAAAATGGGTTCTTTACACACACATACAAATAAATGATACATTTCAAAAATAAGTTAGCAAGATCAAAATACTTTAAAATTGCATACAAAGCAACTTTTAAAAATAGATGAAATGTATATAATTGTAGCACAAAGTATACAATTTTAAGCAAGGCAGAACAAACAGAAAACATGGAGAAAAAGACTATATTTTACTACATTAACTTTCAATTTGTAAAAAAAAAAAAGACTTCCAGTTTCTGGTTCCACATGTGAGGAGCTTGGAAATTGTTACTCATCCTAACAACAAGTAAAAAGCTGAACAGACTGAAAAGTCAACAACTCTTCTTAGATAGAAAAGAGATGAGATGTCACAGGGCAAACTGATGCCCCCAAGATTAGAGAGACAGACAGGCAAATACAGGTCACTGTGGCTTATTTGAGCAGAGACAAAAAGAAACTGAACTATCATTGACAAATCCCTGGGGCTCAGGGCACACCACTCTTGAGAGTTAAAAATATTCCAGAGGAATGCAGTCATAGGGGGTCCCGCCAATACTATGAGATTTAGTTCCAGGAGCTTGACCAGATTCCCATAGTAAATATCTGAGAAAAAATCCCCTTGGGCTTCTGGCAGAGGGAGGGGAAAAGGAGCCATTTTGAAATATACCAGAGCACTCTGCTATGTTAACAAGCCCTGCCCTCAAGGGAAACTCGTTAGCCAGAACCTAATCTATTGAAGTATTATCAGAGCCTAGCTGACCTGGGAAAGGGAAATATCCAACTCCAGGCAGCATTAGTCTTCATATGGGAGAAAAGAAATACCTAACTCCAGCTCACTCTAGCCATCCTGTGCCATCTAAGGAGGGAAGGGAAAAACTGAAACATTTTTTTAAGTTCACTGTACAGTGGCACAGGCTCAATAAAAGGCAGACTTAATCATAGAACTATAGAACACTTTCCTCCATCCAGAACTCACCATCGCATTACCAAAAGCCTATTTACAGCAGTTCCTTCTACTCAATAAATCATACCCAGATACCAAGAAAAAATACAAGGCATACCATAATTTGAAGAGACAGAGCAAGCATCAGAACAAGACATAGCAGGGATGTTGAAATTATCAGACTGGGAATTTAAAACAACTATGATAAATAAATAAATAAAACAACTATGATTAATATGCTAAGAGCTCTAATAGATGAAGCAAGTAGCATGCAAGAAACGATGAGCAATGTAAGCAGAGAGATGGAAATCATAAGGAAGAACCAAAAAGAAATGTTAGAGATCAAAAATACTTTAACAAAAATGAATAATGCCTTTGATGGGCTTATCAGTAGATTAGATGTGAATGTCTTATCAGTAGATTAGACATAGATGATATATCAATCATATCCTCAAAAACCAAATAGCAGAGAGAACAAAAAAGGAAAACAAACAGAACAGAATATCTAAGAATGTAATGACATCTGTAGACTACTTCATCCAACAACTACAAAACACAAATTCTTCTCAAGCTCACATTGAGTATTCACCAAGATAGACCACATTTTGGGCCTCAGGTTCTGGCTAATACACCATAACAGATTTAAATGAATAGAAATCATGCAATATCTCCTCTCAGTCTACAGTGGAATTAAACTAGATAGACATAAATAACAGAAAGATAACTGGAAAACCCCAAAAAACATAGATAGTAAACAACACATTTCTAAATAATATATAAGTCAACGCAGAAATCTCGAGAAATTTAAAAATATTTTGAGTAAAATGATAATTAAAACACTTATCAAGAATTTGTGTGATACAACAAAAGCAGTGCTTAGAGGGAAATTTGTAGCATTGAATGCATATATTATAAAAGACACATATAAAATCAAAAATCTAAGTTCCCCTTAGGAAACTAAAAACAGAAGAGTTATTTAAAACTAAAGCAATTAGAAGAAATAAACTAGAGCAGAAATCAATGAAATTGAAAACAGGGAATCAATAGAGAAAATCAATGAAACCAAAAGGTGTTTCTTTGAAAAGATCAATACAATCAATTAACCTCTAGCAAACTAAGAAAAAGGGAGAGGAGAGAAATTGCTAATATCAGAAATGAAAAAGAGCCCATCGCCACAGATCTCATGAACATTAAAAGCGTGACAAAGGAATACTATGAACAACTTTATCCTTACAAATTTGATAATCTAGATGAAATGGACAGGGTTCTTCAAAAACACAATCTACCAAAACTCATATAAAAATAAATAGATCATCTGAATAGACTTATATCTCTTTTTAAATTGAATTAATAATTAATAATCTATCAAAACAGAAAGCTCCAGGCCATATGAGTTTACCGGTGAATTCCTCCAAACATTTACAAAATGACGATTCTCTACAATCTTTTTCAAAGAATAGAAGGAGAGAGAATACTTACTAATTTATTCTATGACCCTAGCATTACCCTAATATTAAACCAAAGACATTACAAGAAAAGGAAACTACTGATCCATAT